AAACACAAAAATTAATAATAAAAACAATAATAATAAACATAATCCATTTACCACACATAATAAATACATACACATCAAATAAAGATCCCTCCCCCCCCCCCTTCCCAAGAGAGTGTATGAAGCCTGACAACCCCAAGACTAAGCATTGAACTTGAACTTGAAAAATGGACGATATTTTAGAGGAAATGCAGGTGATTGAAGCCATATATTGCGGGGAGAAGGAGTTTAACTTGGTCTCCCAAGGTGAGGTGTTCTTCTTTAGTTGTTTGAGGAAGAGTGACATGGTGAGAGAAAGAGAGGAATGAGGAATTAGCGATGGGGGTTTTATTTTGCCTTTTTTTTATTGCGTTTTTTTATTTTATTATTTTATTATCTTATTATTTTGAGTGTGTGGTTATTGTTGTTGTTTTCTTTATGCTTGTTTTTTTCATATTGTGATGTTTGTCCTTTTAATATGTTGGTATGCTGGTTAAATTCTTATTTTATGCTTCATTACCTTAATGTTTTATATTAATGATGATTATTTAAAGACCTTGTATGTGTGAAGGTCGTTTAGAATTCATGTAATTAGTGGCTAAGTGATTTGTTAATTTCAGAATGGTTTTGATATGGTAAATGTGTGTTGGTTATCTCAATACCTCAAATATATTTAGATGTGCGTTCACCTATCTGGGACATTATTTTGTTTAAATTTATGGATTTATGATTATTAATTAAGACTTTTCAGGTTTCTACAGTATATTTGTTCAGATTTATTTTAATCTAGTTAATTACAGTTATGATATGTCATATATTATTTTGAGATAGTGGTCTATAAATTTTCTTCTTCATACTCTGATTTTCCATTCCATTTCACCAGACCAGTAAATCATATTTCTAACTCAATTTGATTATCTTGTGTTTATTATTATTATTATTGATTTTTTTAACAGAATATTGATTCACATTTTTACCAGCTCATCTTTCATTTCTGTAATACAATTATAAAGAATCAGCCTGAAGGTGTTGGACAGATATCCAGCGTCCAGATGTTCACCCATTAATGACTGGTAACATGATATGTCATAAGAAGATGTCATATCATGTCATGAGTCGGTGTCACATTCGCCAGGATGAGACCTCATGCGCTTCACAGTGAGCCTGACATTGGGACTGTATGCACTTTGTCTGGCTTAGTCTGACTCCATAGAAATATGTCAGTTTAGGTTGATATATATATATATAAAGTATTGTATCTTTCAGTTTAAGTTTAGGTTTATATGTTTTATTGTCAGTTTAAGTTTATATATTTTATTGTCAGTCTAAGTTGATATATTTTTTTGTCAGTTTAAGGTGATATTGTTGATTGTCAGTTTAAGTTTATATATTTTATTGTCAGTCTATATTGAAATATTTTTTTGTCAGTTGATATACCGTTCTTCTGGGAGGCTAGTGTCTTCAGTTGGCTTACATTTTGATCTTTTGTGATAGTTTGATGTTTTTTCTCATTTTCTTTTCCCTATTTTCAGCCTCTTTTTTCTTTTCTTTTATAGTTTCTTTTCATTTTTATTTTCTATGAGTATATTTTTTTGCATTTTGATAGTCTTTCTTTTCCATACTTTCTTTTTCTTTTTCTTTTGTATGAATAGCATTGTTGATTATATATTTTTTTCTTTATTTTCCACGATATTGCAGTTTTCGCTAAACAAAGGACATCTAAAGATTCTTTACAGATAGGTTTACCAAGAGACCATTAAAAATAATTCAATAAAAAGACCTGTATATTTTGCAGTATTGATATTTTTTTATGGAAAATGACAGGTTGTGACTGTTTTCTATATATATATATTAAGTATCCTGTTTGCAGTGGCACCTACTTTTTTTTTTCCTCTTTCCTTAGTGGCTGTTACATTTTCTTTAGTATTTTCTTATAAGAGTGTATAATGTTTTTGGTTTATCCACATTTTATTTTGTATCCATCCATACCAGTGTGTTATCTATATTGCAAAGCACATTGAGTTCCCTTTGAATGGAAAACATTGCAAAAGATTTGGAGTATTGATAAAGAGGCATTGGACAGTTTGTTTAAGCTTTGTTAAGTGGTTTAAAGTTGTTGCAGCGTCCTAATGCAGAATGCCCACTGATATGGGTAATAATTCTGTGTGATTCATCAGATAATATGTAATGAAAAAATAAACCCCTTCTCTTACAGGCAAATTATCCGTGGCATTTTCCGTAACGATAAGTCCTACCCACCATCCTGATTTGAGAATATCTGTGATGTTTACCCTGTCTGTAGAATCATACCCTGAAGATGTACCACCATTTTCAGTCCAAGTAAGTGAAAGGGTTGTAATTATTTTGCCTTTGAGTGTTCTGTACAAAGGATATAAAAAGTTTTCCTCCAGGCTGTTATTCTAGGGCCTCACTAGGACATAATGTGTCTGTGTTCACTTAAGTCTCAAATCTTGACATAGAATTGTTGTATAGTACTTGGTGTACAATTGCCATACATTGTGTAGTACATATCATTGCTAAAGATGTAATTATGTGCATTATGTGGTTTGAAGTAACAAAGGAAGTATAAATTTAGAATTCTAGAGTTGAGAAATCACATGATGAAATCTGTTCCAAGTGCTATACTGTAAATGCGGACAGTTACTTGCAATTGTACATACAGTTCCTGTGTGTAAGCAGAGATTTAGTTGCTAATAAGAGTAGAGAAAAGAAATATAAGAAGAAGAAAATGAAAATAGACAAAGAATAACTAAGAGGAAATTAATATATTGGGGGACCAGTAGATTTCACAGAGAGAATAAATATATAGACCTCCTTAACATATTACTAAAATAATGATTGGATGATAAACTTTTTCTTTTCATTTTATACATTTCTCTTATTTTGTGTGCACTAGGAACTGCAATTCATCTTTCTGAAATATGTTCTTGGCAAATTAGTCTTATGGAATGCAATTGCAGTGACATCAGTCGAGGACCTCAGCTTTTCAGTCTTTTCAGCTGCCATTTGCTTGTTAGTTCATCACTTCCTATGGCAGCAGCATTCAGTTGTTATTGTTGTTTCCTATGTTAGCACATGTGCAGGGTCCACCTTTGCCCGATAAACTTTTTGTAGAAAAAAAAAAGAAAAGAAAACTAATGGAAATCTTTGCAGTCATGTTATACATTTTGTAAGAGAACAAATTAGTATAAGGGAGATCATTATTATTTATTTTTTCCCCCAATACATATATATATGTTTGTGTGTGTGTATATATGTATATATATATATATATATATATATATATATATATATATATATATATATATATATATATATATATATATATATATATATGTATATATAACTTTTTTATATTTTAGTGTACTTCCTTTATCTGTCAGGAGTATGAAGACCTATTGAGTTATTAAGGGGGAGACTTCTATAGCAAAAAAAAAAGAAAGAAAAATAATGGAAATCTTTGCAATAATATTAAACATTTTGTAAAAGAACAAATTAGTGTAAGGGAGATAAATGTATATATATATATTTTTTTTCCTTTCTTATGTATATGTGTATATATATATCTTTTTCATATTTTAGTGTACTTCCCTCAGCCGACAGGAGTGTGAAGACCTAAAAAATTCCCTAAAAGAAGAGGCCGAGTTATTAAGGGGAAGCCCAATGGTACTAAACATTCTTACAACTCTTCAAGATAAACAGCTAAAAGTAGCTCAGACGATAATAGCAGACTCAGCAAGACCCAGTATTAACGGTAAAGTATTTTGGTGTCACGAGTTAGTTTCTTTCTGCCATTTTCCTGATACTTGTTAATTTTTTGGAACATTTCTTGAGAACTTGTCTAATTCTTTGTAACAGAAAAAGGGATTTTTTTTTTTTTTTTTTTTTTTTTTTTTCCATGATATTCTTCAAAAGTGAATGGGAAAGCATGAGTATAATTTTATTTTCTGATTGAAAAGCATAGAAGAAAAAGAGGATAGGGGGTGAAGCATACTTATAAAAAATCAGTTTCTTTGTACAATAGATATGCTTATATTTTTATTAGAATTTCAAATATGTACTTGACAGATGCAAAAGTGTATGTACTACAGCTGGACCACATGCGCAATAAGACACGCTATGTGAAAACAATCCAGCGTTGGTGCAAAGAGTTGTCGATTGTGGGTGGTTTGGTGTTTTGTTTAAGATGGATATTTCTCATACTGCAAGGTCATGAGGAGAGTATAAAGGTTCGTTCCTTCTTTTATTAACTGTATGCTGTATCATTGCCGGTTTCTCAAATTTGAAGTATGAAGATGATGTTCATATCAGTTGCTGTATGGATTAAAAAAAAAGAATGTTATGTAGCTTTCAGATTAAATTCTAGAATAACTTCCTGCATATAGGGACATATTGAGGAAAGTGCATTTAGCTCTTTATTTCATCATATCATATTATGCTAAATGTGAAACTATAAATAATTTAATTTACTTGAAGTACTCTCTCCTCTTTCTTAATGATTTGACATAGTTGCAAACACATGTCAATCTTAAGTTTAATCAATCATAAACTTTTTCAGAGGTGGCTGATATAAATAAATAAATTAACAAATAAATATTAAGTACATATTATATATACTACAGAATGGTAATATCTGTTACATTGGTCTAAATGAGGCACAATGAGTATCATGTGTTGAAATACTGAGCTGGTATATATTAATTTTTTTTGTGTTTCACCAGACATACATCCAGAGAAACAAAACACAAGTTGTAGATGTAGATTCCTCGGGACGACCATGCAAGGAAAGACTTCTATCTGTGCTCCATATTGGTGATCATCCAGTCATGTTAACAGAGTTTAACACATGTGATTTTAAAAATATTACAGATTTAAAAGAATGGATGATGGATGCAAAGCTTGAAAATATTTATGAAAGTGTTATAGCACCGGTTGTTCTAAAGAAATGAGTGATTTATATGTATTTGCATATATATATTTATGTACTGTCATATTACAGTAATAAAGATGCCTATAAATAGTTGTGTGTATTGTACTTCCATGTGTAACCAATGAGTGTGTGAATGATTAAGAAAAAAACATGGGTATTTAACAAAGCCTACATACAAATATATAAATGTAGATATAAATTATAATGAAACAATTTATTATTCATCTCACTGGTAATACTGTTTGAAATGAGCACATGAATGTAATGATGTTATGTAGGTATGAATTATGATAAAAGAATTCATTACACATTAAACTGCTGCCCAGCTAAAATCCAGTTATTATAGAAATGCATAGAATATTTAAAAAAAACAAAAATTCACTATAGTGGCACCTAACCATCTGGCAGATGAATTATTGGTATTATTTGGTCTTTAAGTGTACTCCAAAGAACAGTTAAGACTTAATTAGATTGCAGCCAGGTATGATTTAACATTTTTTATGCAATTTACCTTTTTCTCTATGTTGTAGTACTCTTCATTTCATAAGGAATGTTTAGTTTGTGGATTAGATTACTTGATGTTATGGGAAACCCAATTTATAAAGTTTTTGTGATGGCTTTTGTTCTTTGATTTAATCAGAATTGTAGGAACATTTAGGGAGCACTTTATGGGTAGTTCAAGAGCTAACTGTCCAATGTATTAACTTGCTCTAGCAAAGTTAACTTTACAGTGTAATGTAGTTTCAGGATAAGCTAAAAACTCTTCACAGATTTTTTTTTTTTTTTTTTTTTTTTTTTTTACACACTGGGATGCAAACTTTATTATTAGATTAGGTGATAAGAGTAACAGCATTGATTTTATTATTTACTTTCAGATTAATTTAGTTTTTTAAGTATAACTGATAAGAAAGTGAAGTTCAATTGTATAGAAAGTTCAGTGAATGAAAAGAAATCATTGTGTTCTTTTGGGATAGTCAGTGTATAATACTGATAACCCTGTACAGATGACTTTTGCAAAATGCCTGTTTTGTTTATGCTCTTTCAGGGACTCTATTTTTCTTATATATAATGAAACTCTTTGGGGGGAAACTGATTTGGAAAAACTAGGAAGCATACAAAACATCACCGTTCAACCTCTTGTGCATTAAGTTAATAGCCTTTCATGTTTCACCCTTGTTCCAAGCTGCTCACATGCATAGGCACCCAAGAAATAGGAATTGGCAAGTCAACTCAACAGGACAGCATGTTCCATTACCAGTTAAAATGTGAAGCAGTTTTAAAGAATATTTAATTTTAGTCAGATGTTGCACCCCTGCGAACATGTCTACACAGGAAATTTGATTAGCATTCATGTTGCATGTGTGAGGTTCAGATGTAAATGCCTCATTTGATTTTCATATTTAACTTGCAGCTTTGTATTTGTTGGAACTCCCCACAAGCTTTTATAAATATCCACCTTTATAATTCAATGCCTTTAATTAAAGACCAGTGTTATGAAATGCATTACCAATTATTTTGAAGCATATTAGCTTTGCGTACACTAATTTTGGATAACCCAAAATGTTAACCTGCAAAGGACAAAACAACACTGTTGATGCCAAGGAAATTCTTGTTACTGTAATCATTTTTAACATGCTCTTCCCTCAGGTAAAACAAGCTTTTTAAGCAAAGTCATACAGCATTTGAAAATTCTATGAAATGTAGTTCCTTTGATATTTTAATCCAATGTTTATATTACTAGAAGCAGGTGAGAATGTGTTGGACAAACCCCTTGATGCCAGAGCGTATGTTTGGTATGCAGATGCTGGACTTTGTTCACTTTATCTCCTCCCCCTCCCTTATTTTAACTGTCTGTGCCGTTAGTTGCACAAGAACTAATCACACATCATCATCCTTACTTTGTTTTGCTTTTAATTCAACCATGCACACTAAATATCAAATATCCATAGTCTTGTTCCAGCTTCTCTCAACCATTTGCTTACCAACAAATCGTAGTCACAGAAAGGGGATGAGTTGCAAGAAACCAGGCATTTAGGAGGTTAACATTTGCACTATGTAAGCATTTTGTTTTCTGTCTTGTCTTGAACATCACTGGCTTGATTCCTTGGCATTAATTTAGTATTTTGTGTGTCAATTCTGTCATAATAAGTATCAGTTGCTAGAAACCAGTTAAGCTGCAGTTGGGTTCACTATACCCTTTAAATGCATTGGAATCAAGACAAACTATAATGCTTCTTACTCAGTAATTATCACAGAGAAATAAACATTGCATTTCACTGCATTATTTGCAATGAATTGTGTTTTTATATATGACTCATTCAGGAAAATTAAAACAGTATGTAGAGTCTCTATTAGTATCAGTTTAGATTTGAAGCAATAAAAAACCAATACTGTGTTACAGACCTCAAAGTGAGAGCCTAAGTTATAAAAGCTAAATTGATAATGTTTTGTTGAAGAGTATATTTCAACTGTTGAGAGTATAGAATACTAAATTAGAGGTTGCATAAAAAAAAACATTTAAAAAATATACTTGTAAAGTGTACAGAGCAAGTGAACGTAACCCAAGTGCTTCA